AATTAATTAATTTAAAAAAAATAAATAAAGGGCTGTACAAGGGCCTGAGTTCGATCCCCAGTTCTGCCAAAAAAAAAAAAGAGGTCTAGTGATGTGGCCTTGGGTTCAAGCCCTACTAACACACACAACACACACATGCATACACACACACACACACACACCATACAACCCAATGATACAATGTACACACAGTACAACTGAGACTTGTGAACCTCCTATCTCAGCCTCCCCAGTGCTGGAATTACAGGCATGTGCCACCAGGTCCAGTTTCAGGTCCTGCACTGCATGTGTTACCAGAAATCGAACTCAGGACCTTGCACTCTATGCTGCCAAGCTCTTATCAGCCCTAAATTGTTTTTATTTATTTATTTATTTATTTATTTATTTATTTATTTATTTTGTGTGGCCAGCTCAGCCAACCAGGGGGCGGGGCTGGCTGGCATGTGGTGCTGGGGGATTGAACAGCGGTCCCTGTGCTTTGTTTAGCTTAGCTTGTTCTAAGTAGGTGCTTTAGACCACTGAGCCATCTCACCAGCCCCCTAAATTGTTTTTTAAAAATTAAATTGAAGTTTTTGGTCTAAAAACTTCTGCCCACATAGTAAACTGTAACCTAAGTTCCCCATAACCTATTCTTGTAACAACAGCTAAGTCTCAGCCAAGCAAACAGCCATCTATTCAGAGTGGGTAAGGCAAGGGGCAGACTTTAAACAATCAGCTCTCTATATCTCACTTCCTGTTAGGATTTGTGTCTGGATGGTCCCCCGAAGCCTCATGCAGTCATGAGGTGGGCTGCTAGAGTTTGTAATTGATTCATGATCCCATGCTGGGATTATGGGTATGAGCGCTACACCCACCCGCCCTGGGGCAGGTAGCCTGCAGACAATAAAAGGGATGCTTTTGAATTTCTTACTTTATTATTCTGTTTTTTCATTTATTTATTTATTTATTTATTTATTTATTTATTTATGTGTGTGTCTGTGTGTGTGTGTGTGTGTGTGGCCAGCTCAGCCCACCAGAAGGCAGGGCTGGCTGGCCTGTGGTGCTGGGGGATTGAACTGCGGTCCCTCTGCTTTGCTAAGCTTGTTCTAAGTAGGTGCTTTAGACCACTGAGCCATCTCACCAGCCCCCTATTTTGTTTTTTCTTTACACCCATCTTGCGCATTTATACCTGATAACCTGAACAACTAATCTGAAGATAACATCATGCAATACAGCAACCACTGTTGAATTCCTATTACTTTGTTTAGTGAAATTTTGTATTGTTTCTAATGCTGCTTTTTTCTCACTATTTTGCATCCTTAAAAAAAACTTTTTTTAGGGGCTGGGGAGATGGCTCAGTAGAATAAGCACTTCCCTGGCAAGCACAAGGGTCTGAGTTCAATCCCTGGTTACACACACACACACACACACACACACCCAAAAAAAATTTAAATAATGCCAAGAAAATAAATAAATAAATAATAGGAAGGAGAAAAAGAGCCTTGTGTGGTCTAGACTGCTGCCTGATTCTAGAAGCATAAAAGAAATACTATTAAAGGAGATTAGACATCAGAAACCATTCCTGAAGAAAACAGACCTGTGGTCAAAAAGAAATCTGAATTTGAAGATCTTTTTCCATCCTTCTCTCCTTAAGGGAATTCATACATTCAACTGTCTCTAAGTACTGCTATGGAAAAGGCTGCTATAATTTAAAAAAAAAATTTTTTTTTAAATTTGGTACAGGGTCTCACTGCACAGCTTGGACTCATAGTGATCCTCCTGCTTCAGCCTCCTCAACGCTGGGATTACAGGCGTGCACCACCACGCCCAGTTGCTGTGGCCAGCTCAGCAGGGCTGGCAATGCATGTGGTACTGGGATCAAACCTGGGTCCTTACGCTTGCCAGGCGGACC